AATTGAAAGGTCGGCAGTTCGGCAGTTCGAATCCCTGGTGCCGCGTAACGGGGTGAGCTCCCATGACTTGTCCCAGCTTCTGCCAACCTAGCAGTTCGAAAGCAGGTAAAAAATGCGAGTAGGAAAATAGGGACCCCCTTTGGTGGGAAGGGAACAGCGTTCCGTGTGCCTTTGGCATTGAGTCATGCCGGCCACATGACCACGGAGACGTCTTCGGACAGCGCTGGCTCTTCGGCTTTGAAACGGAGATGAGCACTGCCCCCTAGAGTCAGGAACGATTAGCGCATTCTAGTTTCTTGACCTCTTGAGTTAGTCAAAAAGCTTAGGGCTAAGAAACCAGACATTTAGGTCTTACATCCCTCAAATGACAGCTGCAGCTTTAGTTCAAGCAGAGGCTTCAGTGTTTTCCATCAAATGGGACCAGTTTTTCTACCTGGATCTACAGGTTTTAATAACGAGGATGAAGAAGTTCAAGAGTCCTGCAGACATAGAAGCCTCCAAGGCTGCTTCAAAATCTGGGAAGGCCAGATCCTTTCCTCTAATCACCCTCCTTAGATGTTCCATCTGAACCTCTTCAATTTTCCCCTCTTTAAAATAGGCCAAAAACACCACTTAAGTCATTGACTGTGTTATTAGGTAGTGTAAAATTAACAGGTATATATTTATGAGTGAGGTGCGTGAGATTGGGAGGATCAAGATCCAGATTTAAGGACAAAGAGCTGAATGTTTGTAGAGTCAGTTACCAGAAATAAGCTTTGCCAGGAATGATCGACCCCGTTTCCTGATCAAAAAAAAACAAAACATGCATTGATATATTTGTTTAATTATTTATTGCATGGATATTCGGACATTATTCAAAACAATGCTTGGGATTAGAGACAGAGCATTTTCAGATGAAGGTCAGTTTGTAGCGTGGGGTGACCCAATTGGAATCCAGGAACCCAATTGTCCGAATGTTGTAGCTTCCTTTGCAAATGTGTGTCCCACAGAAAGGCTGGGATTTGATCTCAGTCTATGCCCCCATCACAGCTTGGTTATTGGCCAATGGCTGAACCCTGTGTCAGGCCTGGAAGCCATCTTTTCCATTAGGCCTTCAGAGCTGCCACGTTTACTACTGTGGGAAACTGGAGGGGGGGATTGAATGGAGCTGGGGTGATGTGTAGTCATAATAACATTCCTTTCTCAGAAAGTCAAGGACATCTTGCCCTGGACCTGGACGGCTGGAACTGGGAGGCATCTCCAGTTGGGATGGTGCTTTGATTGGACCACATGATGGACATGTGAGGGCTGGGGCAGGGGCTTGGGTTTTCTCTTGGGTGGGGAAAACCTGGAAACTTTCAGATTCGGGTTTTCCCAGATGTGCCAATATGACATCTCTAATAAAATGTAACTTTGAGGAAACTCGAGCTTTGGACGTTTATTCCGTTGGGGGTGTTACTTGGAACCCTGACACCCTGTTTGATTGAAACAGTGATGTTAGTGATTCTCTCTAACAAGCAGTTTGGTTTCAGGAAAAATTTGGCCTGTAATCAACAACTCCTACACTGCAGAAATATTTGGACTACACAACTCAACCAGGATAAAGCAATAGATGCAATTTGCATAGACTTCTGCAAAGCCTTTGATTCAGTGGTACACAGCAAACTACTGTTAAAACTATGACCTTACGGCATTTCCAGATCCCTGCACAAGTGGATAGCTGCTTTCCTGTCAAACAGGCAACAAATAGTCAAAATAAGGAGTGCCTTCTATACTTATACTTATACTTATACCTGTTTATACTTATATGTTTATACTTATACTTGTTTTCTCATACATGCTTGACAAACTAAATAAATAAATAAAATAAATGTTCACCTATTGGCCAAGAAGGACACATTCTGATTGGCCAAAGCTTCTCTGCAAAAGGTATTGGCAGAACATCCAACACTGATATTCAAGTTCTATTCCATTTCAACTAGAGCTTTGGTTCCATCAAAGTACAATATCGGGGCTACAAACAACCTAATTAATTGAACACATTCAACATTTCTGATCAAGAAGCACAACAAATCTTTAGTGATTAGAAATGGCCTTGTGCTCTAAGAAAAGTTACATTTCTCTTCTACCGTGTTGAGAAAGGGAATCTCCTTTCCGACATCATGGATGGGTGGACTTCAACTCCCAGGGTCCTCCAGACAACATGGCCATAGCTATGGATTCTGGGAGTTGAGGTCCACCCATCGGGATGTTGGTGAGGTTGGGAAATGTGGTTCTAAGATGGAGCCTAGGGACATGTGTTGTAGTGATGCAAGCATTGAAGTAGGTGATTTTGCTGAAGCTCTTGCTTTGATCTTACAGCAATTGTAGGGGTTTGTAGCACATCTCTCCATTGGTGCAATATTTCAGCATGGGGGACCATTGATATTGCACCGTGTAGGTGTACATCATCCCAACCACATCATCTGGATCCTGAGAAGGACTTAAATTATTGGCGTCACCATGGGAGGCTGTATTTTTGCCGCCGCCGCCATTTGCTGTTTCAAGCTTCTCTTCGCTTTTCAGCTGAGAGGAAGACGGAGAGGTGGCCTTCTCCGGATCTTCTTGAGTAGGCTTGCTTTCAGGATGTACGTGCTTGTGTAACGGGCAGCCAGATTCCTTGGAATCTGGAGAAAATGGCAGGTCGATCATTTCAACGATATGCGTTCTCCTGTAGAATTCTCTGTGAGGATGGCTGTCATCGAAGTGAATAAATTCCGCGATATTCGGGTTCTCAAAGAAGATTCCTGGGTCTGGTGCAATAGGAAGAGTCAGCATTTCGTGGTGGTTAGGATGGAGGCAACCGCCGAGGCCGACCTCGTCTAAAGGTTGGAAACTCACAATACGCACTGTTGTGATTTCTTTGGTGCTTTTATTCGGACTAGTGCTAGACATTTTCCTCAAAGGCTGAGGACTTTAGAGCTGTAAGTAAACAGAATGTTCCTGAAAAGAAGAGATAAACAAGGGTCTAAGTCAGTGGTGAAATTCAATTTTTTTTAAACTACCGATTCTGTGGGCATGGCTTGGTGGGGGGGGGGGCTTGGTGGGCATGGCAGGGGAAGGATACTGCAAAAATCTCCCTTCCCACCCCACTCTGGGGCCAGCCAGAGGTGGTATTTGCTGGTTCATCAAACTACTCAAAATTTCCACTACCGGTTCTCTGGAACCTGTCAGAACCTGCTGGATTTCACCCCTGGTCCAAGTGAGAATCATCATCTCCGGTACGGGTCTATGAGTCTTTGCTATGCCCCAGGACTGAGATGAGTCATCATCTTCATTTAACGACCCCATAATGCCTTGCAGGGTGGTGTCTGGGCAACTGAATGGAGCAAGCAGAGTCTGTTAATGGCCAGATGCCCTTCCACACCCACATCTCATGTATCCTCCCTGTAAAGGTACAGTATCTATTTTCTTACTTCTTCATAGGATTTATGTGTGTTTTTCCTCTAGCCAGGTTTTTCCTATATAACCAAGGTTTTTCTGCAGCCCTAGCTCAGTAGAATCACATCCACTCGATTTTGGGCTTGTCCATCATTGATCATTGTTCATTCATCTTATTCTTTAACTTCTATTTGCTAATTAATTGTTCGGGTCTGCTCTTCTACCATCTCCTTCTTTTATTTTAATACAATCTTTCCTTTTCTTCTCCCCTTCTCTCTCCTCTTCTATCCCTTTCTACTTTCCTCATTCCTCCTCTCCTTCCTTTTCTACTTCCTCTCCTCTTTCCCCTCACCTCTCTTCTTCCTCCCTTTCTTACCCTCTCTCTTACTCTTCTTTTCCCCTTCTTTCTTCCCCTCCTTTTCCCATTCTTCTTTTCTCCTCTTCTCACCTCCCAACTCCCCTCCTTTCCCCCTCTCTACTCCTCTCCCCTTCTCCACTCCCTTGTTGTTTTCTTTTTCAATTCAATTTGAGCAAGGTTTTGTTTTTCCTTGAAGACGTTTTGCAATGAAGAAGCTCTAGATTGCTCCTAGAAGCACGAAGCCGAAAACACCAGCCTGAAGATGACGAATGAGACTTCGTCGAAATGTCGCCAAGACACTTCCAATTTTACACGGGAGAAAACTCGAATAACCAAAGACCTACATATATATATATATATATATATATATATATATATACACACATACATACATACATACATATATATTTCAATGAATAATTTGCAAGAAATCTAAAACAAAGTCACGAGTTTTAAAAAAAATCATAATAAAACCAGTAATATAATATACATTTTAAACGGGAAAGGAATAGGAAAGCACATTAAGTCTATTCTCTTTATTGGAGAATTAGGCTGTGAATTTGAAGGACCAGTCCTTCTATCTCAGCCCAACCTACCTTACAGGGTTGTTGTTGTAGGAGAAAACTGTGTTGGATATGTTTACCACCTTGAATAATTTGTAAAAATAACACAGGCAGGATACAAATTAAATACATAATGGTAATAATAGACAATATAGGCACCCGGTGAATTCATCTAGGGAAGGAATTCCATTTTACCGAAGAATCAATCTCTTTTATCGCTGCCCACTTCACGGTTGAAAAGACTTGGAAATTAATTTTAGGATCTAGAGAAGCTTACATTAGGAGACTGTAATTGCAATTGACCTTCAAACCATGTTCACTCTTTGTATTAGATGTTCTTATACAAGATCTAGTGCAGATTGCAATGTTCTAGAGCAGAGGTCTTCAAACTTGGCAGCTTTAAGACTTGTGGACTTCAACTCCCAGAATTCTCCAGCCAGCTATGCTGGGAGTTGAAGTCCACAAGTCTTAAAGCTGCCAAGTTTGGGGACTCCTGTTCCACAGCAACCTTGTGAATGTTAAGATTAAGCATGGGGCATTCCGGGAGTTGAAGCCCACCCATCTTTAAGTTCTCAAGATCCAGAAATACCATTCTAGAAAAACACCTACCTCGATCAGTTCCTACTAACATTTTTTTGGTGGAACTGGTGGACATTTTTGGACCATGGGGTGGTACCCAATTTCCGAGTAGTAGAGGCAAGCCCCTAATTTGATGGGAGGATTTTGGGGAGAAGCCAAAGAAAGTTCTAAAAAACCCCCAACCCCATTAAAAAGTATATATCCACTCACCTTTTAATGTGTGGCAGCTCAAACAGGGTAGTGATATCAAGCCAAATGCAGGGAGCAAATGCTATTTAACAGGAGAAGGTGCTTAGAAATAATCCCTTCGACCTTCACGGGATGTGACACATTTGGGGGAAAATAGCCCTTTGACTTAATTTCCTGACAAAATATGTTTTTGATCTCCCATCTGACCTATGATGCCCTGTCATTGTCCCTGCTGACTCAGTTTGATGCCTCCCCTGTTTGATTAAAGAAAGGAATTTCTATAACTCCTCTCGTCAATTACAGCCTGCGTATAATCTCGGCAGAATCATAGAGTACACAGCACAGTCTGGAAATTTGTCCAGAAGGTATTTTTTCAGCCTTAATTTGCAGGTGAGACTGAGGCATGAGAACTGGCAGGTTCACTCAAATTAAGATTTCCAGCCCATTGTTGCTTGGTTCAATGTCATATGTTCTACAGCCATGCATTGTCATGGGTCCCATCCCATGACCAATGGATAGGAGGTCATGTAATCATTGAATCATGTTGAGAAGCTCATTTTTCTCATAGAATCATAAGATAGGAGGAGAGAGTTAAATGAGTCATCAGCCTAGAGTTGTTACGTTTCCATAAACAATCTAAGTCCATCCCATCTTGAATTCCATTGACCCTTATCTGGCGTCAATTTAGTAGTGAACTTCAGCTGACTAGATTCTTGGGTATAGGTTCAATAAATCTTCTGAATGGTCCTGATTCTTGGCAGCTGACAGACTAACCAATACAAATGGATATCCAACCTTTGCATAAAGACCTCGAGTGATGGATCACCCACAGCTTCAAGAGGAAGACAGTCCTATTATTATAATGACTTGGAAAGTCAAGAATATTGACTCTTGTTTTGAGTTGGGTTTGTCTCCTTCCACCGAGTCCCATCCAAGCATTGGTTTGTGGAGAATGGATCTACATTTCAGTTCCTTTCACCATTCTTCATAGATTGGATCTTCAACCCTATGCCTTTGTCGTTGCTCTTCTTTGCGCCCTTTTCAGTTCCTCGGTGTCCTCCTTGTATCGTGGTAACCAAAGCTGGACACTATTCCATGTTTTCTAACCACTGCAAGGTAGAAGTATAATTTCCTGTAAACTCAATGCTCTACTTCTGTTGATGCAGCCCAAGACTGCATTAGCTTTCTTGGCAACTGCAAAATAGAATACTTAGTTGTACCTATCTACCAGGACAGCTGGAGTTTGGTACATGTATATTAGCTTTTTTGCTAAGGGCAGAATCCTACATTTCTACTCCAGCTTTAGGCACAAAAACTAAGTGGCTGACTTTTGAGAAGTCATCTGCTCAGTTGTTAGGAAGAATGGCAAACATCCAAGGATGTCCCTAAGAAAATTTCATGGACTTCTTAAGAAGGCAAGATTGACTGGAGTGTAGTTGTGTATATACACACACTGAAATATCACCGGCCATCCAAAACTGGCCTTGATTTGAATTACAAGTAAAACATTGGTGTTGAATCCATCTGTGGTTGCCTTGTTACAGGTAGTTCTTAACTTACAACCATCTGTTTCAGTGATGAAATCCAATTTTTTTTTACTACCGGTTCTGTGGGCATGGCTTGGTGGGCATGGTGTGGCTTGGTGGATGTGGCTTAGTGGGCATGGCAGGGGAAGGATACTGTAAAATCTCCATTCCCACCCCACTCCAGGGTAAGGATACTGCAAAATCTCCATTTGCACCCCACTCTTGAGACAGCCAGAGGTGGGATTTGCCAGTTCTCCGAACTACTCAAAATTTCCGCTACTGGTTCTCCGAACTGCTCAAACCTCCGCTACCGGCTCACCAGAACCTGTCAAAACCTGCTGGATATCACCCCTGATCTGTTTGAAGTTACAACAGTGTTGAAAAAAGCAACTTACATCCCGTTTCTTGTGCTTACGGCTGTCGTAGTGTTCCCAGGGTCACATGATCAAAAATTTGGGTGTTTGGCAACTGGCGCTGTATTTAACTGGTTGCGGAATCCCGAGGAGAGCTGATTGCCATTTTGTGGCCTTCCCAGCTTACTTCCCACAAGCGAAATCAGTTGGGGGAATGCAAATTTGTCTAACAACTGTGGCATACAAATCAGCCACAAAACATTTAACAGCTGCATTTGAAAACTTTTCAAAATAAAAATGGATGCAGTTATATAGAAACCACACTTGCCTTATGTGAGAAAATCAAGGCAATGTGGATATTTTACTGTCAAGGTGGGAGTTCACAGATTTGGGTAGGCCAGTCTGATATGTATTTTTAATCTTCTCTAGGTATGTTGGCTATCTCTGAGAAATTATGCTTAGCAATCTCATTTCTGAAGTGTAGCATCTTCCTGTGACGTCCATCAAAATCCACAGACCAATACACCTCTCCTGGGCGTGGTGAGGTTGTATGTTTTATGGGGAATAACTTATTTTCTTTAAAAAAGAACACCTATATTAACTTTTGGGGACCAACGTCTATTTAGAATTTAAGCCCTGTGACCAAAAGTTGGAATCACATCCTTTGTGATGGTAGGAAACAATCTGGGAAGAGGAGATTAAACAAAGTTTCGATCATGGTCTATCGATCACTGAAAGTCCTTGTAGAAATGGTGTTTTACTCTCCGTTACAAAACTAGAACCAACAGATATATTTTGGAATTGCAGGAAGGTGGAGGAATCTAGGGTCTAAGGTACCAAGCTAGAAGCAGGAGACCAAGCAGCAGCAGGTGACTTTGGGTCAATCACTAGGAGACTGTGAGTTCTAGTCCTGCCTTGGGCATGAAAGCCAACTGGGTGACTTTGGCCAATCATCAGGAGACTGGGAGTTCTAGTCCTTCCTTAGACATGAAAGCGAGCTGGATGAGTTTGGGCCAATCAGCAGGTAATGGGGAGTTTATATATATAATATATTCGGTCAGGAAAGCTGGCTGGGTGACTTTGGGCCAATGAGTAGGAGACGGAGATTTCTAGCCCCACCTTTGCCATGAAAGCCAGTGGGATGAAATAATAAAGGTAAGATCAGGGGTGCTATTCATCAGGTTCTGGAGAACCAGTAGAGGAAATTTTGAGTAGTTCAGAGAACTGGCAAATCCCACCTCTGGCTGTCTCCAGAGTGGGGTGCAAATGGAGATTTTGCAATATCCTTCCCCCAGGAGTGGGGAGGGAATGGGGATTTTGCAGTATCCTTCCCCTGGAATGGGGTGGGAATGGAGATTTTGCAGTATCTTTCCCCTGCCACGCCCACCAAACCACGCCCACAGAACCAGTAGTAAAAAAAGTTTGAATTCCGCCACTGGGCAGGATGATACAAATTATACAAAAGGCAAGTAAGTAAGTAAATGAATACACTAAAACCAGAGCAAATGCACTGATGACATTATTTTATTTTGGATAGTATATTAAAGAGGAATTAGGAAGAGGAAGAGGATGAGCAGCAGCAGGACAAACAATTGGACAGGTCAGGAGGAACATCAATATACACGTCAAAGGCAACGGCACAAAAGGCCTTGAAAGACTTTTTAAAGAAGAGAAAAGGATGGTTACATCTTCAAAAGCATCAGTGGGGATGAGGAAGAGCTGGGAGAGCAGGCAGGTCCCTAATCTGTACTGCCAGGATTTCAGCAGCTTCAGTAACCACCACAGCAACCGCCACCACTGCTGCCTCTTCTGGAGGAAGGGATGCGGTATGCCATTATCCCACCGCAACCGAAACCACCGGGCGAGCAAGGCATGCAACAGCATGGGCTGCAGCAGCCATAGCCCTGCATGCGGCCGCAACAGGGCATGCAACAGCCCATGGAGCCATGGAATTTCCACAAGGGACGCAGATAATGGTGGTTCCATCCGAGCCGCCTCCGCCGCCGCCGCAGTTACAGCCACATCCGCCATACATGGTTGCAGGTGGAAAGTCTGAAAAAAATAATGGATCACAAGTGAACATCAAGTTGTCTCTTTTCCACCGGTATCAGCAAGCTCCTTCGTGCCCTCACTAATTCAATGGAATTGGGGGGCATTCATTGTTGCAGACTTTACTCAACTAACAATGAATCCCTTTTCCCTTGTCTTTGTATTATACAAGGAACAATTTTGTATTGTTGGATCTTCGGTCAAGCCAAATCTGGCCGATAGCCGTTCTCCAAGATTTGAGGTCAGTGTTTTTCACCAAAAACCTCATTTCTCCACGTCTTTCTGTAAAGCTGGTACTTAAACCATGGGCCCTACTGTCCATATGACAGGTCACCATCTGTGGACCAGACACAGTTATTCTGCTTCCCAAAGCTAGCAGATGGATGTTTCTGAGATCTCATGAACTCAGTAGTGGGCCATCTCCCACAGTTAGCTTTCAGCTTGTGGTTCTCAGTAGCTTCAGCTTGTTGTCATCATCAAGTCCACCATCAATTGTCATCGTTCCTTAGACAGATCCATCTAGTCCAGCATCTTATGTCTGATGGTGACCAAGTGGACACCCAAGAGAAGTTCAGAAGCAGAAGCTTCTAACTATACCCCCTATAACCATTTACGCTATTACAAAAAAAAAAAAAAAAGCTCAGGTGAGCTCCCGTAACATACCTTGTCAGTGTCTAGGAGATGAAAAGTTCACAACCTATGCAGATAGGTAGGTAAGGATTTGCAGTGGTGGTGGACTTTTTATATTGTCTCTCTGTGCACCTTTTGCGCATGAACAGGTCACATCCGCTGGAGCCCAAACCTTAAATTAACCACAGGAAAAGACATTTCCTAAAATGTGATAATATTCGGTGTTGATTCTCCAGCTTCATTTACCTCTTTCATTAAAGACCTTTGGAGTAATATATTGTGTGATTAAAACGATCTTCTGGTAGGAATGCTGCAATTATCTTCTATGACCAGAAAGCCCTGAGGAAATTAAGCCATGCTGAGGAATATAGATGTTTAAGGCCATGAGATGGTTTACTTCACTAGGATGAGGGGAGTTAACGTCATGTACTCATAAGCAATGAGAATCAAACTCCAGCTTCACTACTGCGTGATCCGAGCTATTGTTTTGGTCTATTAGGAATGGAATGAAGCAGACAATTAATTTGGATCAACTTTTACACAAAAACTCCCTTTGATTTTTAAAAAATGGATCTGTTTTTTAGAACATAAAATCATTGGGCTGGCAGTCACCTCAGAGGTCTTCTAGTCCAACCTTTGCAAGAACATTGTTGTCATCCTCCGGGGTGAATAGGTTGGTTAATCCTATCAGCCATTTGGCTAGTGAGACTTCCTTTAGCAACTGACAAGACTGACACGAGGTTACATTGCTGCGTTTTGAAGTTGCTCATCATGCTAACCTGTCCTCTCGTGATGCTGTGATGATGGTTGTCCAAACTGGGTCAATGCAGAAACTTTGCCTGGGTTTAACTAAGCCAGAAATTGGGTGGCTTCATTAAACACTGAAATATCATCGTCCATCCAAAACTGGCGTTAATTTGAAGTACAAATCAAACACTGTTGTTGGATCCATTTGTGGTTGCATTGTTACAGGTAGTCCTTGACTTATAACCATCTGTTTGAAGTTACAACAGTGTTGAAACAAACGACTTACAGCCCATTTCTTGCACTTACGGCTGTCGTAGTGTCCCCAGGGTCACATGATCAAAAATTTGGGTGTTTGGCAACTGGCGCTGTATTTAACTGGTTGCGGAATCCTGAGGACAGCTGATTTTTTGTGGCCTTCCCAGCTGACTTCCCACGAGCAAAGTCAGTTGGGGGAATGCAAATTTGTTGAACAACTGTGGCATGTATAGGTTGCAAAATCAGCCACAAAACATTTAACAGCTGCATTGCTTAGTAGCAGAAGTTCCACTCGTGACTGTGATCATAGACAGAGATTACTGAGATTACTATAAGCAACCTGGAATTTTTGCTTTTTTTTATATATAATCAAAACCTCTTAGTTCCACAGGTGACAATAAGAGAAAACTTTTCTAAATAAAAATGGAAGTAGTTGTACAACAACCACACAGTCTGTTTATACTTATACTTATTTATCTCACACATGTTTGACAAACAAATGAATAAATAGATACAAAGTATATAAAAAGTAAGTAAGTAAATGAATACACTAAAACCAGAGCAAATGCATTGACGACACTATTTTATTTTGGATAGTACATTAAAGAGGAATTAGGAAGATGAGGAGGATGAGCAGCAGCAGGAGAAGCAATTGGACAGGTCAGGAGGAACATCAATATACACTAGTAGTCAAAAGCAACGACACAAAAGGCCTTGAAAGACTTTTTAAAGGAGAGAAAAGGATGGTTACATCTTCAAAAGCATCGGTGCGAATGAGGAAAAGCTGGGAGAGCAGGCAGGTCCCTAATCTGTACTGCCAGCATTTCAGCAGCTTCAGTAACCACCACAGCAACCACCACTGCTGCCTCTTCTGGAAGAAGGGATGCGGCATGCTATTATCCCACCACAACCGCAACCCCTGAGTAACAGGGCGAGCAACAGGGCATGCAACAGCATGGGCTGCAGCAGCCGCAGCAGCCCTGCATGCAACCGCAACAGGGCATGCAACAGCCCATGGAGCCGCAGGAATTTCCACAGGGAACGCAAATGATGGTGGTTCCGTCCGAGCCGCCACCACCACCGCCACAGCCACATCCGCCAGTCATGGTTGCAGGTGGAAAGTCTGAAAAAAATGGATCACAAATGAAGGTCATGTTGTCTGTTTTCCACCGGTATCGGCAAGTTTCTTCGTGACCCTCGCCAATTCAATGGAATTGGGGGACATTCATTGTTGCAGACTTTACTCAACTAACAATGAATCCCTTTTCCTTTGTCTTTGTGGCTTGACTACAGTTATACAAGAAATAATCTTGTATTGTTGGATCTTCGGTCAAGCCAAACCTGGCCGATAGCCGTTCTCCAAGATTTGAGGTCAGTGTTTTTCCAGATATACACAAAACCTCAATTCTCCACGTCTTTCTGTAAAGCTGGTACTTAAACCATGGGGCCCTACTGTCCTATGACCAGGTGGACCAGACACAGCTATTCTGCTTCCCAAAGCTACCAGATGGATGTTTCTGAGATCTCATGAACTCAGTAGTGGGCCATCTCCCCCAGTTAGCTTTCAGCTTGTTGTCATCATCAAATCCACCATGAATTGGCATCATTCCTTAGACAGATCCATCTAGTCCAGCATCTTATGTCTGATGGTGACCAAGTGGACACCCAAGAGACGTTCAGAAGCAGAAGCTTCTAACTATACTCCCTATAACCGTTTACGGCTATTATAAAAAAAAAAGCTCAGGTGAGCTCCCGTAACATACCTGGTTGGTCTCTAGGAGATGAAAAGTTCACAACCAATGCAGGTAGGTAGACAGGGATTTGCAGTGGTGGTGGACTTTTTATATTGTCTCTCTGTGTACCTTTTGCGCATGAACATGTCACATCCACTGGAGCCCAAACCTTAAATTAACCATGTGAAAAGACATTTTCTAAAATGTGATAATATTTATTATTGATTCTCCAGCTTCATTTACCTCTTTCATTAAAGACCTTTGGAGAAATAAATTGTGTGATTAAAATGATTTTCTGGTAGGAATGCTGCAATTATCCTCTATGACCAGAAAGCCCTGAGGAAATTAAGCCATGCTGAGGAATATAGATGTTTAAAGACCATGAGATGGTTTACTCACTAGGATGAGGGGAGTTAACATCATGTACTCATAAGCAAGGATGGAGTCAGACCCCAGCTTCACTCCTGCGTGATCTGAGTGATCTGAGCTATTGTTTTGCTCTATTATGAATGGGATGAAGCAGACAATTAATTTGGATCAACTTTTACACAAAAACTCCCTTTGATTTTTTAAAAAATGGATCTGTTTTTTAGAACATAAAATCATTGGGCTGGCAGTGACCTCAGAGATCTTCTAGTCCAACTTTTGCAAGAACATTGTTGTCATCCTCCGGGGTGAATAGGTTGGTTAATCCTATCAGCCATTTGGCTGGTGAGACTTCCTTTAGCAACTGACAAGACTGACACGAGGTTACATTGCTGCGTTTTGAAGTTGCTCATCATGGTAACCTGTCCTCTCGTGATGCTGTGATGATGGTTGTCCAAACTGGGTCAATACAGAAACTTTGGTCTGGGTTTAATTAAGCCAGAAATTGGGTGGGTTTGTTGTAAGTCATTCAGAAGGAGAGGAAGTGAAATTTTCTAAATCAACTTTCCGATTAAATGATTGGGAAACCTAGATGTAATTCTGCTGATCGTTTGTGTTTTCCCTCAATGCTTCCCGGGTCCCTCGCTTAATACCTAAAAATGAAAAGGAGCATAGAAGTAGGCCAGGCCAGCAGAACCTGACACAGCATTCAGATATTTTAATTAAAAGATACAACATAGATGATTACAGCTTTGTCTCCAATAGCCAAGAGCAGCATTAGCAGGCACTATTTTCTGGAGAAGGGTATGGTTTAAACTTAGTCACATCCTAGTTAGAGCACTCTAACATCCTCCACAAGGAGCTATCTACCTTGGATAAAGAGAGCAGGGGTAAAAATCATTTCCTTTCAAACATCAGGTCATCCGAGGCAACTGACTAGTAGGCGATTCAGAAGAGACAAAAACAATGTCCTTTATACAGCATGTAATCAACCTGTAGAATTTGGTAACATGACTTAACAGTGATGGTTGCTAATTAGAACACAGAATCATAGGGTTGAAAGGGCCTTAGAGGTCTTCTTGTCAAACCCCTGTTCAATCAGGAGAACCCTACATTATTTTGAACAAATGGCAGGCCTCTTGAATAGCCTTAAAAGAAAAAGTTGATCTGGCAGTTGGGGCAGTTGCCTTTTAAATAATACCTGCACGGAAAAATATTGGAAGGTGGTATACTCGAATGAAATGGTACTTCATTTGACACAATATTAAAAGGAGCCGATTGTTCTTTTGAAGAAATATAGGATGCCAAAGTATCACCTGTTTTGGCCCATGGGTTAATTATAAAATTATCTGGATTCATCAGCAGTCGGGATATTTGTTTTGACGAAGTTTTTGGCTAAATTGGCCTGGAGATGGATGTTTTCATAGTGAATGATGATTCTTCACAGCTGTCTCACTTCCTAAGCAAAAATTGAGGGAGGTGCATGTAAAGGTCCAGATTTGTTTAGTTTTTAGTTTTTCTCCGGCTTTCCGTTTTTCTGCCTAACTTGATGAACAAAGCGAGATTGATTTGGCTAACCATTCTTAAGTAAAAAAGAAGATATTTTGGACAGGAAAGATTTTCTTCCAAATTTTAAATTCTTTGGGCTGTGCTAGGAGGATGGCAAGAAAGATCCTTGTGGCATTTGTTGTTTAGGGGTCTTTCGGTATCCAACATCATTCCTAATATTGCGATACTGATGGCTTCTGCCTGTTTATTTATTCACACTGCAACTGTTTAAGTGTCTGCCAAAGTTCAGCCTGCGGTCCCTTTGTCATTGAACATAAGAGGATATAGATATCATACATCATTCCAAAAAAATCCTACATATCTAAAATTTGAATAGGTCATTCAATGTTTGACAAGAGACATCGTATAATCCATCAATTCCCTTGTTTTACGAGGCCACATGGTTAATTTTCATACAAATTGATTTTTACTCAAATCTCACACCATCTCATTAAGACATGGCCCAGTCACAAAGTTTTCAGTTAGCAGAAAAACCACATGATAAAGTTGAATCCAGCAATCTCGTAGAGTTCCAGAGTAAACTCGTAGACTGAGAGCAAATGGACAGCTTTCCAAACAAAGCATTGGATCTTGCATCTTTTTCATTTTCTAAGAATGCCTGTTCAAAGAAAAAGAGCCTTGGTAGTACAGTGGTCTAAGGCAGTGGTCCCCAACCTTTTTATCGCCGCGGCCCGCTGAGCGCGCGCAGGGGTGGGGCCACGGCCCAGGAGCCTTTGCGCAGGCCCATTGCGCACGGCCCAGGAGGCCTTTGCGCAGGCCCATTGCGCACGGCCCAGGAGCCTTTGCGCAGGCCCATTGCGCACGGCCCAGGAGCTTTTGCGCAGCCCATTGCGCACGGCCCAGGAGCCTTTGCGCAGGCCCATTGCGCACGGCCCAGGAGCCTTTGCGCAGGCCCATTGCGACGGCCCAGGAGCCTTTGCGCAGGCCCATTGCGCACGGCCCAGGAGCTTTTGCGCAGGCCCATTGCGCACGGCCCAGGAGCCTTTGCGCTGAAGCGTTCCTGTCCCCCGGCCGCTGCGCGGCCCGGTGCCAGGTACTCCACGGCCCGGCACCGGTCCGCGGACCGGGGGTTGGGGACCACTGGTCTAAGGTACCCTGTTATTAAGCTGGTTATTAAGACCAGCTGCCTGCAATTACTGCAGGTTCGAATCTCGCCAAGGCTCAAGGTTGACTCAGCCTTCCATCCTTTCTAAGGTAGGTAAATTGAGGACCCAGTTGTGGGGGCAATAAGCTGACTTTGTATAAATATACAAAAAAAGGATGAAGGCTATTGCTGAGCACATTGTAAGCCGCCCTGAGTCTCCGGAGAAGGGCGGCATATAAATCAAATAAAAAAAATAAAAAAAAATGCCCCTTGTCTTTGCAATGTCTAAACTAACATTTTATTTATAATTAAAACTGAAAGCAATATATTTTTGAAAAAAAATAAAAACCAAGATTGGGCAAAATAACCTTGGTGACATCAAAGAAGCGATCTCCAGGGATGTAGTCCATTTTTCAGGAAACACTGGAGATTAATCTTGAGGTTGAAATTACAAAATCACCATAATTTCTTAAGTGCAGTGAACATCAAGAGTAAAAATTAGTGATTGATGGGAAGGCTTAAATCCAAAGGAAGACATATATTTTATTGAGTTGACTGCGTGAGATATCCTATTGAGCAACCCAGCAGATGTCACAATATAATTCCTCCTTAAATGCTTTTTTAACCTCAACTATGGCGTCTGAATAACCCATGCATTAACTGGAGATAGCATTAAACACCCACATACTATAAATGACTTATGTAATGGGAAACACGGATTGGGCCAAGCAATACAAACTGGAATGGAGAAATTCAGAACAGGATTCGTGCTTAATAGGGATCAGCTGCTGTTCCCGGATGTCTCACTTCCCTCGAGAACACGTGTCCGTTTGTGTATAAAAAGTCCCTGGTTAGAACGGTTGTCATTCATTCATTGGAGAGTCCTAGCTTTGAAAGCTTCCTCTATTGAGCCAAGGTAAGATATACGGTATTTTGTTCTTCATTCTTACAACAAGAAGACCAAAGGTAGATAGGCACCTTCCATCCTTATCTTAGAATTAAAATAATTCTGAGGAGTTAGATAAAATGGCAAGGATCTGCTCGTAAGTGAAAAATGATTGGTAGGCCAGGTTGCGTGAGGCTAGCTAATTATTTCACAAACTATTATTTCATATCTTCATTCAACTTAAGTTAAAGTTATTCGTGTGATCTGTGACCAAAGTTGTGTTCACATTTAAGAAAACTGGAATGAGAAAAAAAAAATGGAGCATGATAGGTTGTCGGAGTTGGCCTTTCACAATCTGTTTTTGCTTTACAGATTTTCCTTTAAGTCTGCAACCATGAGCTGCTGTCGCTGTTGTGGAGGTCGCGGCTGCGGATGCTGCAACAGATACAGGCCAAGAACGGTTTACTATGTAGGAAGGCCCGCAACTGGTGGGTGCTGTTGTGGGTCTCGTGGCCGTTGCTGCGGCCGTTGCTGTGGCCGTCCACGGTGCTGCTGTACTCCATCTTACCCATATTATCGAATTCCAGTCCAGACCTATGGCACCCAAGTGAAGAAATGCTAAAGGAACATTGACAGCGTTCACAAGACCTGCAAGTTAGAGTTACCAGATTCAGACTGCAGAAGCTGCAACGACCACTAAAGGGCAGCGAAGAGCAGATGCTTTCCGTATCACCCCACTGCCCTCTCGTGATCATTTGAAATATTGCAATCCAGATACGACAACTAAATGCAGTCTTCCCTTTTGACAGCTAGAGGGATGTGAGAATGTTACTTGTTCCTCTTGCAAGACTTGCTGGATTATCTCTGACTCATCTTGCCAAGTTGATGAACAGAAGCCTTGACACAAATGTATTACCCAACACTCTTTGATCTTCTCTTGACTTTATTCCTGAAACGATTAGAATCGTTTCCTCGTAACCGAAGGGCAAATGGCACCGTTTTTCTTTTCTTTTTTTCTTATGACTATCGGGTGATTTTTGTTCGGGGTCTGGATCTTCCCTACCAACTGGTTCTATAGCCATTTAGCTTTTCCAAAAACAATAGTTTTGGGTGACGGTTTGCATTTTCTTTGGCAAAGCCCTGTCGGCATTTTCCAATCCTTGTAATCCTTGCATAAACTTATGGTTTCAATAAAATTCTGAATTCTAAAAGTTTTCCTTTCCTTTTTTTGTATTTATTCCTCAGGAAATGTTCAGCAACATTTCTAATCCTTACTCCCACAGCGATGCTAAAGTAGCCGGGAACTGGCTATTTTTATTCAGATATTGACTTGCGTGTAGTCATTTACTTTTAAATTTGGACAGCCATGTTGTTTCAGACATGGTGTGTGTGTGTGTGTGTGTGTGTGTGTGTGTATTTAAACCAAATCAGAGGCAGATCTCCGGGATGCCCTTTAGGCTAGATTAGCATTAACTGTGGTTAGCCTTTGATGTGGAAAAAGCTGGTTTAATGGCTGTTGTTCCTATTTCTAACTTTCATTTTGAAAGGTTGAATCCCTTCATGGCTTATTTATCCCCACTTTGCTTCTTTGCCCCCATTTCTCAATAATCAGGATTATTTCACAACTCCTCCATTTTGACAGGAAAAAAAGAGGCTTTTTTGGGGCCTAATGTTGGGCTGAAAAGCCTCTAAGTCTTCCCTGAGGTAAAAAAATCCACCATTTTGCCTTCTTGCCTTCTCCTCAGGCCAGCTCTAAGCAAAAGACCTGCCCACCACCAACGTCCACCAATCCCAGCGCATAGCGGGATGACTTGGCAGTTCCATGGGCCAATTTGATGCCTGGATTCCTTTCCCACCTTTTCCCTCCAAAGTCCTTCCAGAAGCTGCTTGAGAGTCTGAGGAGAAAAGACTTGTTATTTCCCCACTCAGAAATGTATTTAGGGGGAAAACCTTTATTTTTTAATAAAAAATGTGAGGTTTTTATTTTATTTATCTTTTATAATGCTTTTACTCCTCTTCCTCCTCCCCCTTTCTTTGAATCTGTCTGGGGATTTTTAAGGCTGTTTTCAGAGATTTTTTATATACTACAAATGTTGTGGAAAAACGTTCTGACTCTGGTAAGATCCAAATAGTTTTAATAATAAATATTAATGCCAGGATAAACCATGACTTCGGTATGTTTGACTTAACTCCTAAATTTGGTTAATTATGGTTTATGGAATTGACTGGAATTGGCTTTGGGCTTGAGGGAAAACAGAGAAATTTATTACATTTTTATCCCACCTTTATTACGTTATAAGTAACTCAAGGCAGTGAGCATACCTAATACTTCTCCCTCCTCCTATTTTTCCCACGACAACAACCTTGTGAGGTGGGCTGGGCTGAAAGAGAGAAAGCCTGGCCTATACAGAGTAGAGATAAGTCATTGCTTAATGCATATTTTTCTAAATTAAGATTCGTGTGTTTGTCTGACCAGGATGTCATTGGGGTCCAAGTTTAGAGTTGCTTAACACGTGTCTTAGAAAACATGTATGTAATCAGAGACTCTTTACTTCTGAAAAGTAGATATAATTTAGATTTGGGGATAAAGGTGGTCTTTCACCTTCAAAATGTTGCTAATATGTGCTTTGCATGATTGACCGGGCTTTGTGGAGTCTTCCAAATCAAATATTTGGGGGTTGAATGTTGGGTGCATGGTTGATGAATAGACTGGGATTAAACTCAATATAAGAAGAGCTGAAAGAGGATTTTCTTTTTCTTCTTCTTCAATAAAAGATAATTTTGTAGCTCGAGGTTGAACTATGGTGTCCCTGGTGCTCTCTGAGCTTGGTGGTTTTCTTGCAGACATTTCATGACCCAACTAGGTAACATCATCAGTGCTAGAAGGGAGTTGGATTTGCAGAGTGGAGGAGGAGGAGGAGGAGGAGGACTGTGGGTTTTTTAGTGCTCTCTGAGTTTAGTGGTTTTCTTGCAGATATTTCATGATGACCAAACTAGGTAATATCAGCAGTGTTAGCACTGGTAATGTTTCCTAGTGTGGTCATGAAACATCTATAAGAAAACCACAAACTACCCAGTCTTTTCTACAACAGGCCCACATGCCCTTCTGTAAATCATGGCTTCCAAATTCAAACTGCTGTGTTTGCAGAATGACTAAAACCGTAATTCGCTTAACAGTGGTTTATCAGATGTACTGTAACTGTGGCTGGCTTTGGGACATATACCATGTGTGTTTTGACTTCCAAAGTTGCTTGGCAAATGGGTGTGCCCCTGCCATGAGAACAAGTGGATGAATGAATGAATAAAGTCATTATTTGTGTACTAAACTAAAACCAAATTTGAAACCAAATGGGTCATGCATTTAGCTGTAGTATTTTGAATAAACTATATTCAGATCAGGTAAAACTTTGATTTCTTGGTAGATAAAAGGATCAAATAGTAATTGTTTAGTCTTCCTAATGGATTGGGATGCCAAATGCTTGGAAAGTTTGATTAGTGAGGGCCATTACTTCCTTTATTATATACTTATATACTCTTTATTATATGCTTTTGTTTTAATTATTCCAGTAAAGGATGTTACTGTAACTTCTAGTAAAGGATGTTAGTACTTCTTATATAGCTGTTATTTCTGCCAAGATGTTCCATTATAGTAGAAAGATAGCACAATCCAGCCAATATAAGTATGGTTTAATTCTTTTTCTGTAGTTGTGCAAAGCTCAGGAAAGCAAGTGTATATTTTGCTTTATAGAAATCTAGCTTTGACATTAAAGGATAAAGACAAACAAGTTCCAGCAGGACAGCTTTGATGATTCATCGTTTTATTTTTGTCTACATAGCTATCTTCAGAATAAGGAAAGGTTCCAGACACCCAGGAGGAAATGAGAATTACCTTTTACCTTAACATACGAAATAGGCTTATTCCTTGGCTCAGGAGAATTCAGCTCAGAGAACAGTGGGGAAAAAGGAGAAAAGAAAATGTCACCATGGTACAGAGGAATTCAGGTGAGGGATCTTGGCAGTCTTAGAAATTAGAACTGCGATTGGTGGGGTTGTTCTTCTCAGTGTCGTGTTGGCAGATCTTGTTGGCAGTGTTGTGTTGGCGTTTAGATCTTCTCATATGGTGGTTGGCTTCTTACTTCTTGCAGCATGGAGGGCAGGGAGTGGGGCAGCAGGTCTGGACGCAAGGAATGACACAGCTGCAAGGGGAGCAAGAGGACTGGCCACAGCTGGATTGGCAAGGGGAGCAAGAGGACTGGCCACAGCTGGATTGGCAAGGGGAGCAAGAGGACTGGCCACAGCTGGATTTGCCTCCACAGCAGGACTGGCCACAGCTGGATTTGCCTCCACAGCAGGAAGAGCAGGAGGATTGACCACAGCCGGATTTGCTACCTCCGCAGGAACAGGAGGACTGGCCACAGCAGGATTTGCTACCACCGCAGGAACAGGAGGACTGGCCACAGCTGGATTTGGTCCCGCAACAGGGAGAGCAGGAGGATTGGCCACAGCTGGATTTGGTCCCGCAACAGGGAGAGCAGGAGGATTGGCCACAGCTGGATTTGGTCCCGCAACAGGGAGAGCAGGAGGATTGGCCACAGCCGGATTTGCTACCACCGCATGAACAGCAGGACTGCCACAGCTGGATTTGGTCCCGCAACAGGGAGAGCAGGAGGATTGGCCGCCACAAGAGGAGCAAGATGACTGGCCACAGCAGGGAGCACAGCATTGTTGACATCCACAGCAGGGCACGCACAAAAGCACGGCCCCACAGGTTCCACAAGTGGCCCCACAAGAGCCACAGCAATCCCCACAGCAGGTCATCTTTGTAGGCAAACTAAAAAACAAATAAAACACATCTATGTAACCAAGACACACAGTTACCATTTGGGTGAACGTGTTCAGTGCCAGAAGAGATTTTGGTTTTGTGAACCCTTATGAAAGAACTAGAAATCAAATTGCTTGCATAAGATGGGTGTCAGGGTTCCAAGTAACAGTCCCAACGAAATCAAAACTCTGAGCCCTGGAGTTTTCTCAAAGTAAGAATTTATTAGGAATGCCATATTGGCACAGCTGGTGAAAACCCGACTCTGAAGGACCCAAGGTTTTCCCCACCCAGATCAAGCCCCAAAGTTTTTGCCCCCCAGGTCACACATCCATCACACGGTCCAATCAGGTCACAGTCCTCCATCAGCTGCCTTTGGCTCATGACTTTCAAACACCTGGTAGGGACGTCCTTGGCTCCCACGGGAAAGAACGTTATTTTGGCTACAATTCCCTCCAGCTATTTCCATCTCCCGCCTCGCGTTCTCACAGCAGCAACCGGCCTTGCTGTGGCAGCCCTGAAGATTTCTAAAATGGCTCCAGGGCTGACAATGGGAAACATACAAGTAAAGTCCTTGATGCTCTCTGAGCTTGGTTGTTTTCTTACAGACATTTCACTACCCAAACTAGTAATATTATCAATAGTAGTAAGGGGTGGCCTTACTATTAGCAAACCCAATTCCTTATTAGCACTGATGATGTTACCTAGTTTGCGTAAATGTAACATCTGCAAGAAAACAACCAAGCTCAGAGAGCATCAAGGACCCCTCGTTTCAAAACTGAGCTACAAATATTCTCCTTTAAAGATACAAATAGTGATGTAAAGACTTAAAGGACCTTCCAGTCACTCTAGACTCCAGGCAACTGCCTGGAACGAGTCTGTGCAGTTTTCCTGGAAAGATTTTTGCAGCTGGGTTGCTGTGGTCGCCTTCTTTCTAAGGCTGAAGGTTCAAAGTCAGTATCAGATGGCTTCATACCTAAAGTACCACTACACCAAACTGGTGTTCAAAGACATCCATACATATATAACATACTATCAGGAGTGAAGAATCAGGATCACACATTAAGTTGCAGTTCAGAAGATTTATTGTTCAAGCCTCTACACAAGAATCTAGTCAAGTAAAATTCAGCACTAAATTGGCACAAGATAAAGGTCTTGTTTATGGGAATGTAAAGACAATCGCTTAAAACAAAACCATGCTGATCTTAATTGTTGAACTATTTCAACATTCTAAGGAAAATCTGTACATTGTCCGCCTTCAAACAGTTTCTTTAGATCAGCAACAGTTGGATGGGCACAAACCCTGCTTTTAAATGGATTGTATGGAGATGTTTTGGTGAAATTTGTATTTATAGTAATTGGCATCGTTTGTGAGAATTCTGTCTTTCACTATGT